CTCTACAACACAAGAAGGGTCCCAAGCAGCTGAGCTTTCAGGAGCTTGGCTGCTTCCTACGCTGCATTTACAAAAGCCTTTCACCTGGAGAACATTTCCAACATGACGGGTTGGTTTCAATGCAATTATTACTACTCAGTGGTGTGGCTGAGCCGTCTCACTTGCTATGTGACAGCAGAGTGCAGTGGGAAGCCAGTAGCTTTTGTGGGAATGAGAGCATGGCCATGTTTTCCAAGTTTCTTGACTATCTCTAAGACACCAGTGCTTCCTTTTGTGGCAGGTGTGAATAGCCTGAGACTCCACTTGCCACAACGGAGGAGCTAAATCTTTAGAATGAAATATATGACTGGTGATGAATTCATAGTTCATATCTTTGCATCATGTTTAGGTGTCACTGTATCAATTGTTTTCTGTTCTTTGACTGGTGAGAAGTGAGGTTTCTTCCAAGCTGTCCCCTCTGCTTTTGGAGCTGCCTAGGCAGGAGTCCCTTCTCTCTGAGCTCTGCATGTGTTGCCCAAGACACTGGGGAAGTCTTGGATCCTGAGCAGCTTCTAAGGACTTGCTGCAGTAAAAATGAACGTGCAGACAATCCCTTGCCTTGGCAGGGTGGTCTTATTGGGTCTGGCCAGTAGAGACCCAAGGGCGTTTCGGGGTATTTATGGAAGAGCTCCAGCTGTAATGTTTTAATAAAGGGAAGACCTTGTTTTATCATAGAAGGAAGGTATTTTGGGGGATGGAGGGTTAAATGAGATGGCATCCTAGTCTAGAACTTATTCCAAACAGTTTCTTACCTTGACAAGTGACCTGGAAAAAGTAATTGAGAAGGGAATACAATATTTTGATCCTCATCCACAAAGAAGCTTTTCTTTTTGATATCTACTACTCGTGCTGAAATAATTTTACCAGGAAAATGTACAGAATATCTTTTGTGCCAGGGTGCCCTTTGAAAGATTCATTCCTTACACATACATAATAGATACAAGAGTTCTAAGGTTTCACCTTTAATCTACGTCTTTTGTATTTTGTTTGTTTTATGTTTTCCAGTTAACATTAGCAACGTGTATAAATACATAGGAAATTATTGGATGAAATGGTTTTATCTAATAAATTTTGATGACAGATCATAAAACATTGTGTAAAGATGCACAGAGATGATTTTAAAATACTTACCACACAGCTAGAAGCCCATTATAAATTAGAGCACACAAGATTTATATGCGATTCTGCAGCATGTTTTAGCACAATTTAAAGAAATGTAAGCAGGAAAATCCGTTCTGCAATTATTTAATAATGCAGTAGGTATCAACGTTACTTTAAATTGTTGAGGCATCGTTTTTCCTTTGTAGAACTCTAAAAATAACACTGCCAACACAGTCATGCCTTGTCCAGTTGGTGCTATTAATTTGTATTGGCCTGGTCATTTCCTATTAGCTGGCTCCCAGTGTATGGAGGCTTTGCATTGCTAATCAGGATTTAGGCTTTTTTTTCTTTTTCTTTTTCCAGTTGCGTTTGATAATTTGCTAATGGGTTTTCTTCAGATGGCTCTGAAAGTTTTTTTGTCTTTTCTCATTTAGATCAGAAATGTTGTTCCAAGAATCTTTAGTATCTTACATAAGAGCATCATTCTTGAGGCATGCACCCATCCCCGAGAGGGTTTTACTGACTGGTTAATCCAGTTTCCACAAGGTGAAGT